CCTGAGTTTGCTCAGTTTCATGCTCATTGCTTCAGTGATGCTATCTAACCATCTCATCCTCTGCCGTCCTCTTCTCCTTTTCAAAATGGCTCAGCTATGTACTATAAAAATATGCACTTTGTTTTATAGGCTCTGAATCTCAGTGCTTCCATTTCAGTGGATAACTGATGTATATCACTGTGATACCTTCTGCCCGTGGTTTCCAATGGATGAATAATGTCATATACTTTCACTATTTTATCAATGCCTGCAGCATTGGATTACTGCCATGCACTCTATGTGGGGCTGCCCTTGAAGAATGCTTGGAAACTTCAGCTGGTACAAAATGCAGCAGCGTAGGCAGTTATGGGTACTGGTCATTCATCACATGCGACACCTCTGCTCTGGGAGCTGCATTGGCTACTGGTATGCTTTCAGGAATAATTCAAGTTGCTGGTAGTTATAATACCTTTAAAACTCTTCATTGGCTTGGGGCCAAGTTACTTATGGGACCATCTCTGCTCTGTGGTGTTTAACCATCCAGTTAGATCAGCAGGAGAGGGTTAGGGTTAGATGCTCCGGGTCCCATCTGCGAGGGAGCGCCATCTCATGGGACCCAGAAGAGAACTTTTTCTGTTGTTGTGCCTGCCTCTGGAACATCATCCCCACGGAGATCAGGCTCACCCCAACCCTGCTGGCCTTTCACAAGATCTTAAAGATGTGGTTTTGACATCAAGCCTGGGGCCCTGAAAGCATGGGTAAGCCCATTTCCTGGTTGTATTGATTGGGGAGGCAGGCTTGCTAATGATCTTGGCTGCTATTTTATGCTATTCATAATTTTGGATACTGTTTTTATTCTGTTTTTAACTGTTAGCTTCCCAGAGCCATAAAATTATATTAATTAAATAAATAAATAAATAGATAAATAAATAAATAATCCGTGGAAAGCAATGAGAAGAGACACATATTAACAGATTTACTGGTAGATATATAGATAGTTACTATCTCTGCGCCAGTAAGAAAATTAAATTTTCTTAAATCAAAATCAAATTCTTAAACTATTTTCCCTTAACGCAGTGCTCTCTACACATATTGGGTTTCAATTCCCATCCATGAAATACAACACATTTCTAAACTGACCAGTCATTTGGAACATCTAAACCATGGTGCTCTCTTCTAAGATGTATGCATCCTAAAAAGAAAACCCAATTTGTCCTCTCAGTGTTCATTTATTGATTTTCCAAGTGTATCATCATCATCATCATCATCATCATCATCATCATCATCATCATCATCATCACCATCATCATGCTTTTTAAAATCACATGGATTGATTCAATACTAAAGACTTACAATACAAGTACATGTGATGCATTTGTTCCCGTCAGGCTGAAATTCCTCACCTTCAGAGAAATGTCTACCTTCAAGTGTGCACCCTGGGGAAAAACAAGTATTTTATATGTTTATATAAAATCACAAGTATTACATAAGTATATATGTACATATGTAATATCTGTGTGTGTAATATATACTGTATATTACACACATATACACACATACACACACAAATCTTTTCACACACATAAACATTCTCTGGTAGTATAGCTGCAATACAAAAAGCATGGGAAAAATGATTACTGATTCTAATTATTCCCAAATCACAAGTTCAGTAAAAAAAAAAATTGTCTAAAATAACAGAAGCATGTACAGGAATTCATGTTAAATTACCTTTTCATTTCCAAGCCTTTGGGCTGCACCACATTAAGATTTTAGATCTTATCTTCATAACCACAAAGATCTAGGAACTTAATTAAAATGCATTAAGCAGAGCTTCCATTAACATACTGTGAACCCCAGGAATTTGGGTTTAAAGAAATGCGGAAAAATCACGGTTATATAATTCCTAAATACCAGAGCTATAAACAATGGCACTGGGGTGAAACTAAACAGAGCCACTGTGAACACAGAAGGAAAAAAAAACAGTGGGACCCTAAATGATAAGGAATTAAGCCTCCGATGATACCTTTGCTACTAATGTAATAAGAGAATTGTGCTTCTGCTCCAACAGAAACAAGTGGGGGGGGGGGGCGGGAATAAGAGCAGTAGAGAAAGGGAAAGAAAAGAAAAAAGAGGGAAAAGTAAATCAGTCCAGACTTGTTTCATTCATTTTCTGTACCTAGAAAAAAATTAGAGCCAACACTTTCTTTTATTTATCACCTGGAAGAGAAGAAAAGGTACATATTTCCAAATGGGGAACTTTGCACATGTACAGTCCTGAAATCATTCTCTCAAATCATCTTGAGATGCAGGCTTAGGAAAGACTCCTGCCTGACACACTGGAAAATTTTATCAGCTACTTAAAGTAAGCAATACCGGGATAGATGGATTGATATTCTAAATTTAATGCAGCATCATGTGCTTGGTGGCAATCATACAAAATATTTTTTCCATATAAAGTATGAGGAGGGTAGCATGCCTGCTGCTTTTAAGAGGCTGAGCACTGAGATGATGCGTAATGTGAATTCTTGAAATCAAAGCTTGTGCAAGAAATACATTCAGCCACAATACTCCTTTTGCTCTCCAAAGAAAACAACTGGATAAGGGTTTGGGTAATTTCCTACAGCAGAAGAGCTATTATTCTCCCTCAGAAATCAATTAATGCAACATCTGTAGTTGCGGCTATCTTTGTCACTCCATCTCAAGAGGGCTGTCAACCATCAGAGAACTACAAAGACAGGAAAGGGCTTGTGGAGTGAACGTAGGCAAAAGATATGAAAAATGTGAAAGCATCACACTGCAACAGCGCAAGGAGCAGCAGCAAAACCAATGTAGCAAGAAAATGACATTCAGACTGGTGGAAGTAAAACACAGTAATACAGGTGCAGCATGAAAGAACAGTAGAAATGAAGAGAGGGACATGGAGTAAGTCCCCAAGAAATCAACTTTTCTTCAGCATGAGTCTTTTTATTGTTTGGTCATCCACACACACAAAAAAGGCTAAATAATATAGACGCCATGGTATCAGAACAGCATAAGGACAATGGTTATGGGGGTGAGAAACTAAATGGTAGCTTAAAAAGTCTGAAGTACTAGAAGAAATACAGCCATCTAGTCCCTTCACCATTCACTCAAGGCTGGCTGGATCTGACTCTTGGTCAAACAAGTGTATCTATACGTCTTAAATATTAAAAGCAAAAAAGTCAGCTTTCCTATTCTTTAGGCTTATATAAATCAATCTCTCTCAGCTCTTACCTGGACATGTGGGGCAACACATCCCTGGTTGCTTGTAAGGGTTTTGACAATGAACAATACACTGAACCTCAGATTCTGTTATCACTCCTTCCTGCCAAACAGCACAAGAAAGCCACAATTATCATCCACCAAAAACCAAAAGTATATCACTATGTACAAAGAAGACAGGTTACACATGCCCACCTCACACACTCTTCTGATCTCCCTTTTACCAACATCATGCAGATAGACATTTGACAGAAGATATGTAAGGTTTGATGGTTTTAGAAAACAAAACATATGGAGCCTATAAATCCCCATATGGCTATACCTGAATAGTCAGGAAACTTGAGTTTGTACCCCTCTCCAAGTCATATTCTGTTTTCAAGCAGCTAATTCTTGTTATATGTTCAATCCATTGTGCTAATTTAATGAAAAGCCATTTCAAGAAACAGCAGATCATTGATGAGAATCAGGACATGCCTAACTCTGGACTTCCTTAGCTATTCAACATCTGCTTAAGGATGTCAAATATGATGAGGCTATTTTTGTAACAGCGTACCATGGTATCAAAAATTAATCCCCCCCCCCCCCCAAAAAAGTACATGAACCTTCTAGCCTGCACCTGCTAGATTTAGCTAAGCAGCAGGAAACTAAGAAAGCTTCTTGAAGTAAAAAAGGTTTCAGTCTTATCAAAAATGTGTAGCGTACAGGAAACGTGAAAAGAATCAGCCACTCTGCTTTGATGCTAACAGACCTGATAAAAACATTCCTTCCACTCCAATTCTTTGGAGAAAGAAAGGCTTATGAAAAGAGAGATAAGGCCTGCAGAACAGAAGCCTCTTATCTCTGATGCTCCTGTTGATAGGACTCTAGTAAATGATCACTTCCTGCAGTCCTTACTCCAGAAGTCAACATCTTGATCAACATGAAGGGGATGACAGGATCTCTGTGCACTAGTTGCCATTCTCTAATGAGCAGATTTGGCTTCCTAAATGAGGAAGAAGCAGGGACTTTTCAAAAGGTCCAGATTCCAGCTCTAAATGGAAGTACAATTCCCTATTTCTGCTTTGTGATAAGAGCAGAAAGGCTCCAGGATATAAATGATGAAACTGCAGAATTCCACTGCAATGTGTAAAGAGCAAATGCTCATGTCAGTCTCTTCCTCCCTCCATCACAACCGAGGCAATTCAGTGATATTCTAATGTCACTGAGGAATTTTTGCCCACAAATAGTATCATCTGATCATATTGGCTGGGGCATGGAAAAGGCATAAGATGGCAATATCAGGATTTGTGTATGTTGCCTCAGATACTGTATTAAATACACAGAGATCCTTTATGGCAGTCACCATGTACTCAAAACTACATGTAATTTTGCCTCTTCTTCTTTTTCAATGTTTATTTAATATCTGGCTCTTCAGTATAAACATATCCTGTGTGGGACTTTAAATATAAAATGGCAAAGTTGAATATATTCTGACAAAACAGAAAAACAACCTGTTCAGGTCACAGCAGCTCTAGATAAACAAGGGTTTAATGAGCTGAGCCAATAATGAAGAGTATAAACTGGCATTAAAATATAAAAGATGCAGCATTGGGCCTCAGATGTGTAGCAAAATTCTCATGTGAGAGAAGGTGGTGCCAGAGGTACATGAGTGGACACTATAGGTCAGCCATCATTCTGAAAGGTTCCCAGAAATGATATGCAAACAATAGTTACCGTATTTTTCCATTAACAAGACACCCCAATGTATAAGACAACCCCCACTTTTCCAACCCAAAATTAAGAAATCAATATTTTAAAGATAAAGCAGAACACATTTTTGTTTAGTAATTAGGTAACATTTACCTGATACACTCAGTGGGAGGAGGTCCAAACTGTCTCTCTGCAGCTCTATTTCCATGCTCTTTTGCATAACTGATTACATTAGCAGAACACATTTTTGTTTAGTAATTAGGTAACATTTACCTGATACACTCAGTGGGAGGAGGTCCAAACTGTCTCTCTGCAGCTCTATTTCCATGCTCTTTTGCATAACTGATTACATTCAATCACAAGTGAAACTGCCGATAGCTTGTCTCTGCAAACAGACTTCCTCCAATTGGTTTGTTCAACATCAGCTGATGTCAGTTACAGAAGGCTCATGACTGGAGGAAGCCTCTTTGCAGACACAAAATATGGACAGTTTCACTCGTGATTGGAGGCTCGTGATTGGAGGAGGCCTGTTTGCAGAGACAAAGTATAGGCAGTTTTGTAACCGCGCAGTTCTCTCCTTGGCTTATTTCCTTGCATAAGACGCCCTTCAATTTTTAGTGTAACAATTTTAGAAAAAAGTATCATCTTATAGATGGAAAAATACAGCATTTTCAAAATGAATATAATTTTTCTAGTCCCAGCCACTGATCTAGCTCTGTTTTGTATAGTCTACAAAGCTGTCCTCGGTATTACAAAAAACAATAATCCTAAAGGGTTATTACCAAATCACAGGTAACTAGGACTGGACTCCTGCCCAACCAAAGATACACTGGCAAGCAGTAGAAGCCACTTGGACCTCCACAGGCAAGAATCAGGTCATAATCTATTATTTGGCTTCCATTATCTATAAGAATTTGGGGCAAACATGGGGCCCAGTTATTTGAGGGATTGTCTCTCCCTCGTTATGTCTACCTATCCTATCAGATCCAGCAGGAGAGGCAGAGACCAGGTCCCATCTATTAGTGAATGTCATCTGGTGGGTCCAGGAAGAGAACCTTTTCTGTCCTGGCACATCATCCAGGACATCATCCTACCCTTTGGAATATCATCTGCCTAGAGATTAGATTGGCCCCAAGTTTGCTGGTCTTTTGCAAGGCCTTAAAGACATGGTTTGGTCACCAAACTTGGGGATCCAGATGTGTAGCAGAGCCCATACAATGTTTTATTTTAATTTGTTGGTGGCAGTTTTGGTTTTACCTTGGCTACCGATTGTGTGTGTGTGTGTGTGTGTGTGTTTTAATCGTTCTGTTTTTATGGTGTTTTTAACTACTGTCAGCCACCCAGATTCATGAATCTGAGGTGGGTGGCCATATAAATTGGGTTGGAAGGATGGATGGGCGGACGGACGGACGGACGGCCGGACAGACAGACAGACAGACAGACAGACAGACAGACAGAC